AGTTACCATTCTTCCAACCTCTTGAGTTACCATTCTTCACCCCTCTTGAGTTACCATTCTTCACCCCTCTTGAGTTAACGTTCTCCACCCCTCTTGAGTTACCATTCTCCACCCCTCTTAAGTTACCATTCACCACCCCTGAGTTACCATTCTTCCAACCTCTTGAGTTACCATTCTTCACCCCTCTTGAGTTACCATTCTCCACCCCTCTTGAGTTACCATTCTCCACCCCTCTTAAGTTACCATTCACCACCCCTGAGTTACCATTCTTCCGACCTCTTGAGTTACCATTCTTCACCCCTCTTGAGTTACCGTTCTTCACCCTTCTTGAGTTAACGTTCTCCACCACTCAACCTCCACTGCTTTTAGTCGTCATTTCTTTTCAGAAGAAGAAAAGATAAAGTTGAATTTACACTGTGATTTATACGTTCAGTTCCATTGTTCTATCACTCAACTTTTTACTTATGAGGATTATTTTATCCACTTAATTTCTATCTGAAGTGTTCCCATCAATGGCTGAATGTAAACAAACAACTTGGAAACCGAACTGAACTCATTTATTACAAATTATGCTGCAGATTTTTGGTAGTGAATGAGAGATGTTTAGTGGTTATTTGATCAAAGCTGATACACAAAGACCAATAATTCAAATAAGAAAAATTTGACACTTCATAGATTTTGACAGTTATTATGGCTTTAATGTATTTTGGTTTAGACTCTGACGTTATCTGTTTACTTCAATGATTGAAGAACCTCTTAATGTCCCTGGGTTCTGTTTGTGTCCATGTTTTTTGTCTAAAGTACTGTGTCCCATGTCCATCCTGTAGATATTTTTTGGTTATTTTCTGTATCTGATTAAAGATTTGTGGCTCTGTATCTTCTGTCAGTCCTGTAGACATTTCTAGGTTCTTTTGACTGAAGTTCTTTCGTGTGTTTCTTGTTGGTCCAGTAGATATTTCTGGGATTTCCTCATGTCCTTCTGTTCTGACTGAGGTTCTGTATCTGTTGTTGGTCCTGACTGTCCCCTGCTGTCCTCTGTGTGTCTCCAGGTAAACGTCCACATCAGTGTCAGATCTGTAAGAAGGCCTTCAAACACAAACACCACCTGATCGAACACTCACGCCTACACTCTGGAGAGAAACCCTACCAGTGTGACAAGTGCGGCAAACGCTTCTCTCACTCGGGCTCGTACTCGCAGCACATGAATCACCGCTACTCCTACTGTAAGAGGGAGGCTGAGGAGCGTGAGGCAGCCCACAGGGAGGCTAGAGACCAGGGAGGTCTGGAGCCTACAACGCTGCTGATGAGGAGAGCCTACCTGCAGGGGCTGGAGCCGCTTGGATATTCAGATCCTGAGGACCAGCCAGAGGATTCCAGCAGTACAATCCTCATGGGAGGAAGAGAGGGAGGAGGAGGGCAGGAGGAGATGGAGGTGGACAGTAAGGTGCTGGAGGAGGTGACGGATCGGCAGGAAGAAAGTTTCATGATAACAGAGGAAGAGGAGGAGGAGCAGGAGGAGGAGAATGACAGCAGGAGCCAGTCAGTTATGGATGAGGAGACACAAAACTTGATCCAGCTGACGGACCAACGTTCAGAAGAAAAGACAGATGGCAGGTCAGACCAGGAAGACTGATGGAGAACAGAGAACATTTTTATCAGGTTCAGTTTCATGATGGGCTGAAAGATACAAGAAGGTTCTGTGTCAGTTCTGATACCAGATCAGTGGTTTACAGAGACGTCACCCAGGTGTGTTTACCTGCAGCAGAACTTTAAAGGACCATTTCCATCTGAAGGAATAAAAACTAGTTTTATGAAGAACACATGGATGTTCTTCAGTCTGCACTAAAGCCAAGAACAGAAAACAGTTCCATGTGGACCTCAGGTTTATCAGGTTCTGTCTGAAATTTCTATTAATAACTTCCAGTTTTTCCACAAAATGATGTGTACTTTTGATTTCAACCATAAAAGATTTTTGTAACCAGCTGATGTTTAGAAACCTATAAAACATCACACGTGACAATTTATGATTCTGTTAGTTTTTCTCTGTGCTACATCATTAGCTTCACTGTTCGCTACACTGTTAGCCATAGTGTTAAAGGCCCAGCATACTCCATCCGAAGCTGAACAGTCGACTCGCGATCACGTGCTTGCAGGACGTTCCTTTATTGCACAGACCTTCCATAGTCCACAAGACACGGGGTAGAGCTCCTGGGAAACCCATCCCGCTGTGGTATACGTCACCGCACAGGTTTCTTCTTGCCAGGGTCTCCACTCTGTCCCTGCATCCGCCATTTGACCATAAATCTATCATGAAGAGACAGCTACACTTTTCAGCAAACTCCTCCATACACGATTGCACGAACTCCATCCAGGAGATTTTTATCCATTTGACTAGCTTAGTATTTGTTTAGTGGAGTGTATTTCCGCATTGACAAACACGCCCACAAACTTCTGACCAATCATGCAATACGTGGCAAATAGCTCCGCCTGTGAGAAAAAGTTTGGTCCGGGCCTTGTGTGTCATGCAACTGCGACAATGAGAGACGATTAAGAAAAAAGATTTTGGCACTTCGGATGGAGTATACCGGGCCCTTTAGTCACAGTGTTAGCTTCACTATTAATTACACTGTTAGCTTTGCTGTTAGCTACACTGTTAGCTCTATTCTTAGCTACACAGTTAGCTACACAGTTAGCGTCACAGTTAGCTTCACAGTTAGCTACACAGTTAGCTACACTGTTAGCTTCACTGTTAGCGTCACAGTTAGCTACACTGTTAGTTTCACTGTTAGCTACACAGTTAGCTACACTGTTAGCTACACAGGTAGCTACACAGTTAGCTACACCGATAGCTTCACAGTTAGCTACACTGTTGAGTTTGCTGTATTATTCATGAGTTGTAAGACATTTACTCTCGCTGATGTGGATATGAGACATTCTATTTATCGCAAACTTATACTTTAAGAGAAATGAACTTCTGTTAACCCCTTCTCCTGCAGCACACGTCAGGCCCAGTCACAACCAACAGCACTGTGTGTTTTCAGTTGATGATGGAGGAGTTGAAGGAGGAAGAGAAGACCATGTCAGAGGAATATCTGGTGTTTCTGTTGTTAACTGAGGAGAAGAGCTGTTTTTCTAATTTGTCACAGAGAATCCTGAACCTGAAAGGTCAAAGGTCACAGTGTTAAAATTATTAATGCTTTGAAAGTCAAACGTTTGGTAGATGTAACTCGATGAAGCTGACTTCATGGAGCTCCAACTCGTTGGTTCTGTGATCAGAACATGATTCGGGTCAAACCCACTTCATGCTACAGAAGAAAAGAAAACGTAAGACTTTTTAACCTTAAAAATGAAGTGAAGCTCTTTGTTACAGATTGTATTAAAATGCTTTTTATGTTTATAACCACACACACACACACACACACAGAGGAAGGTGCACATGTCTCCCTGAATGAAGACATGGCTCCAGGGAGACTCATTCAGTGTTCTTGTCTAATTTTTACTGTGAAGTTTGTCAGTTTATTGTTTACATTCGAGCACAGGGTTCTGGTTCTGCTGGGTTCTCTCTGATGAAGGATGTTTCAAATGTGTCTGAGTCAAACTAGATGTTGATGTGAGCCCTGAAGCGGCTTGGTTGACCCCTTGACCCCTGACACTGAGAGTTTACTTTTCTTTTCCTTCAGAATGAAATATGCTTTTTATGCAAACCTTTGACCTGTTTCTAAAGTGCCACTGTCTTACCTGTCCTCTACTGTCCTCCACTGTCTCACCCATCTCACCTATCCTCCA